CTAAATCTCATCCAGACAGGTGACAGGGCTCCCAACTCGAGAGGAAATCCTCTAATTAGGGACGTAATCACGTTTGTGGACGTTCTTCACCCTCCTCCGTCACGATGCAACGTCGACGGCGACACGGTACCCCGTTACATTAGATGTCTGCCTAGAATGAGGGTGTTAATCTGTCACTATTATACTCCTAAGCTGTTGTCCTCAAATGTAATCAATCTTTTATTTCTTTTCTATAGCCTACAACGGTAGTCTGATAAGCTTCGATTTTTGGCTGTGATAATTTAAAGGTACCTTGTTTTGTCGTATCATGCAACGACATGGTGAAAAATAACTATGTTTGGAAAAAGGATTTCTTTGCTCAGGTGTGTTCTTGTTATGAACCTTTGTTGTATTTATGGTGTACGTAACTACGGATCGGGGCACTCCTTTGGGTTCATGCATTCTGTAAACGGCACTGTTACCGTGAAGAACTTTTTTGGCAGCCATGGACAGTGATGAGTGACGGAAGCAGGTCAAGTTCAGCCATGTTACTTATGACCAACTGGTTCATAAGTACAACTGAAGAATAAGTTAAAAACTAATAAATTAGTAAACCGTTTTTTGTCACTATTACCTGTCACCCCTACAATGGAAGAGTGAGTGAGTGAGTATTGTTTTACGCCGCTTGTGGCAATATTCAAGTAGTATCACGGTGGGGGACACCAGAAATGGGCTTCACACATTGTACCCATGTCGGGAATTGAACCCGGGTCTTCGGCATGACGAGCGAACGCTTTAACCACTAGGCTACCCGACCGCCCCTACAATACGGAAGATATCTTGTTGATCCCAATTAAATAAAACCCACAAAACCCAAACCATATTCATAAATATGAGAATGCAAGAGAATAACCATCCTAGATTTTCTGCCGAAACAAATTCCACTTGGCGAAAAGGAAATTATATGAATGGACAACTGACAAGCAGAGATAACACCATGTTTTCGTGAAAAGGGAAGCCTGTCCTTCGCTACCGGTAGCATTCGCCGTTCATAGTGAGTGAGTGAGTTGGGTTTAGTACGCCGCTTTTAACAGTATTCAAGTTTTATCACGGCGTGTCAGCTTAATTTGGGAGGAAGGCCCGGAGTGATGCAGGTCTAAGACGTTTACCACTTCGGTGAAACCCATGAGCACGAGTATGGTGCTGACAAACCTAGAAACATAATTGGGGAGAACCGGGATTTGAACCCACAATCATAGGTTTCTGACGTGTCCAAGGAACGCACTCTACACAGCGAATTACGGCGCCTTAGACGACTGGGCCATGGCTACCACTAAAGACAATTTCAGGTTGCATGACCAAGTAAGAAGTACTTTTCTCTAATGCACTTGTCTGATTATCATTGAATATGGATTGATATAATTGACTGACAATCATTGCAATCACTGCACGTGGATCAATGACTGATTATCACTATACATGGATTGATGCAGTTGTCTGACAATCATTGAATATGGATTGATAAAGCTGACCTATTTATTTTGTATGGAATTACACTGTCGACTCATGATAATTGTACGTGGATTGATACAGTTCTCTGATATTTAGTGTACGTTGATAGATACGGTTGTTTGATATTCATTATGCGTTCATTGATACAGTTGTCTTAAATTTTTTTAATGTGGATTCATGTAGTTGATATATTCATTTTTCGTGGATTCACATTGTCGACCGATATCAATAGTTCGTACACTGATACACTTCAATGATAATCATTGTACATGGAATAATACAGATGTCTGATATTCACTGATTGATAAATACTCATTTTTATTGTTGGAAGTAGGCACTCGACATACACGATTGCTGTATATTGGAAGGAAACCCTGAAGTGATACAGGTCGTTTTGATGAAACCGACGAGCATGGGTTGTTAAAAACCAATGATTAAAATTAGTCGAATCTTGGATTCGAATCCACATTGAGCAAACGGACTCTTGTGCATCTAAGGGACGCAAATCTTCACAGACTATTACAATAAACACAGACTCTCGTTGTTCTATTGTAGTTCCTTACTATCATAACACATTCCATTTTTATGTAAACAGTGGTCGGAAAACGATTTACTATTTTTTCAGAAAGTGAAAAGACTGAGTCAAATATGATAGATAAGGAAAATTTCATTTACAAATCAAATATCTAAATATATTTTACGAGCGCTTTTAACGGTCTTCGTATCGATAATCGAGACTTCTTATCTGGCCTTATATTTAAATTTAAAAATACAAACAGAGAACTTTCCCGCAAAGTAATCTTAGCGACACGCATGTCATAGGGCTCTCCAATAAATAGTGGGCGGTGGGGTAGCCTAGTGGTTAAAGCGTTGGCTCGTCACGCCGAAGCCCCGGGTTCAATTCCCCACATGTGTACAATGTGTGAAGCCCATTGAAGCTATGATAATGGTGGAATATTGCTAAAAGCGGCGTCAAACCACATTCACTCACTCACTCGAGTTATAGTGAGTGAGTGAGTTGGGTTTTAACGCCGCTTTTAACAGTATTCCAGTTATATCACGGCTAGTCGGGAGGAAAGCCCGAAGTGATGCAGGTCTCTGACGTTAACCACTTCGGTGAAACCCACGAGCACGGGTATGGTGCTGACAAACCTAGAAACATAATCGGGGTGAACCGGGATTCGAACCCACAATCATAGGTTTCTGGCGTGCCCAAGGGACGCAACTCTGCACAGCGAATCGCGGCGCTTTAGACGACGGGGCCACCCGTGCCCCCCTTTCCAGTTATAAGGCTAAGATTGCTGTGTGAGACCGGGCCCACGTGTTATCTGCTCCAGCTGCAGCAGCTACGTACACAACTCCTTGCTCACTTGGGCAGCACACTGAAGACGTCTTGCTGAGAAACCACATCCAGTTTGCATGAAAAAGTAATTTGGCTCCGAGACAAGTCGCTGACTTGTTAATATATCAAAAGCGATAAATGTTTATCCACACAATCTTTTAATTACAAATATTTATCTTTTTCACGAAAATATTTATGTGAATGAAGAATGTGTCAGCCTAAAAATAACCCTGATTTTCAATTTTCGGTAAATGCTAGTTGCCATTTCAACAGATTTGCTGATATCATACACAGGATCTCATTGAGTCGATTGCTTCACAAGTTAGGGGGTTGGGTCGATATTTCTGTTATTAATTCCCAGCATTTCACAGCGGAACATGCGGACAATAAGCTTTATTTCAATGCGTTGGTTTGGTGAATCGACCAAAAATCGACCTTGAAGTCCAACAAAGCATCTGTCTACACGTTGATGCAAAAACGTGCATTTTTTATACCAATCGTTACGTTCAGCTTTATTATTAGGAGATAAAAATAGTGTGTTTTTAATATAGACATATGTTACCTGTAGATTTATGCTAGATAAATTTAACATTTATAAACTTACGATGCGTGTTAGGTTTCAAAATCAATTTAACTGTTAAATCTACAGGTAGACTTGATCTACTTTGAAAACCCAGCATATTAATCACTATACTACCTTGACCAAATATAATGCCAACTTTTTGGTATTAACCAGTATATTCATTGAAGCGGCATGGGTTGAGTCCAGTATTTTCAGTACATGTATACCAATTAAGGAAACACCGATAATAGCCAATAACAAACATTCCCAAACATTGTTTTGTTTTTAAATCATAATAGTTTACCTTCACAAAAAACATGCCGCGATTACAAATGTGTAGCACAGCAAATCTGTAAGCCAACGTGAAGTGAGTGAGTTGGATTTAACGCCGCTTTTAACAGTATTCCAGTTATATAACGGCGTGTCAGCTTAATTTGGGGTTGGGGTGGGTGGGTGGAGTCGTAGGGTCCGAAGTAATACAAGTCTCCAGTTTGTCGAAACCCACGTGCATGAGTATGGTGCTGATAAACCTAGAAACATAATCGGGGCGAACCGGGATTCGAACCCACTATCATAAGTTTCTGGCGTTCCCAAATGACGCAACTCTGCACAGCGAATCGCGGCACCTTAGACGACTGGGCCAATGTTACCACTAAAGACAATTTCAGGTTGCATGACCAAGTAAGAAATACTTTTCTCTAGAACTTAGCATCCGTGGTAATATGGCCGTCAAATCGGCTGTTTCAGAGGTGCTTATAGTGATTTGATTCATTTGAGTCGCTAATCAGAATCAAGTAATTTCCAAAGTCATGGTAGAATGAAATGTATTAATACGACTCAGGGGTAAATGTCTGATTTACTTCAGTTGATTGTGTCTCAACGGTGTGTCGCGTTGCTCATGCTATCAACCCAGGTTTCATTTACTGGAATATTGCTGACCGTGACGAAAAGCAGCATTCACTTCGTTCGGGTCAGGGTTGGTTGGTTGGTTTGTTTGTTTGTTGTTTAACGCTGCACTCAGCAATATTCCAGCTATTTGACGGCGGTCTGTGAATAATCGAGTCTGGACACGACGATCCTGTGATTGATATAATGAGCATCGATCTGCGTGAGTTTTTTTAATGCATCTAATCCCTATCATAAAGATCGGGTCGTAATCAATATCGTTCTCCGTGGTTTTCTGGCTTCATTGCATCCGTGCATTCATTTCACCAGAATACAGCCATGTATCAAAGCAAAATATAATATCCTTCAGTACACATGTCCCGTTTTGAGACAAGATTGATGCATTTCATGTTTAAATCCTTACATAACAATCATTTTATACTCAAAGACCTTCAACGTGTTCAGCTCGCCCACTGAATATAAATGGTGTGCGCTCCGCAAGCAGTGAGCAGAAGCCCTCAGTCAATCTCTCCCAAGTACCGTACAGCCCGCCCGCATGTAGTATACCATCAACGATCTGCCATTATTTCAATAAGACAATCCATGCCTGTGGTCTCTCCTTCCCCACTGGCGTCGTGAGAGAGGCCTGCTTGCCGCTTGAGCTCTCCTCCCTCCCTTCTTCAACAGCTATCTTCGCTTGCAGAAGACCTACAAATTTGTAACCATGTCAACGGCGAAGAGGCGTACTGCGCATGCGCCAGTCTTCAGCGGCAGACGATAAGGATGCTGCCTGAATTAGACAGAGCTGCTGTGGAGGCAGTTAACATTTGTTCCAGTTGAATCTGTAGCACCGAGTCAATGAATGGATAACGAAAAGCTCTGGAATCTGTGAAAATGTGACGGGCTAAATGCTTGGAATATTTACAAGAGGTGAGTGTGTCTTTGCTAATTCATGACTCGTCTCCGTCAAACTTTGACTCAAAGTGTCGGCGATTCAATCAATAATTGAATCTGTTACCACTTACATATTGGGGGAGCTTCTTCTCATCTGCTGTGATCTTTACCGCCCTCGGCAAGTTTCTATTCACAGCCTCAAGTGTCCCTACAGATAAAATATCTGTACAAATCACGTCTGTGAAGTTATGTTGGAGGAAGGAACGTGTTGAGTTCTTCAGATCGTCCATCACCCAAATGTTCATATTTTTAAAATCCAAGATGTCCAGGGTTGTTTTGCTTCAAAACGGTTCATTTGTAACATGTCACTGATATCCTGCAATAACGTGCTACTTAAATATATATAAGTGTAACATCCTTTGAGGTGATATGTATATTTGCAGGAATATGTGATACTGTATACTGTTGTCATATGTTGGTATGGAAATAATTATTAACGACACAAGGCAAAATAATATTATAGTATTACATGTCATAATACTCTATAGTTATGTATCTATATATTGATTTGCATAAATGACAATATATCCTGTCTGTTATAGTATATTTAACTACGGGATGATATGCACCGTGTGCTCCTACTATTTTAAAGTAACTTGTTATTGTGGAAATCATGCGAACGAACACACACACTCTTCTCATCTCTCCCCTCTCTGTCAGTCTACATATCTGTCTGTCTGTCTGTCTCTGTCTCTCTCTCTCTTTGTCTCTGTCTGTCTTACTCACTCTCTCTTTCTCTCTCTCTCTGTGTCTCTGTCTGTATTTTACTCTCTCTCTCTCTCTCTCTCTCTCTCTCTCTCTCTCTCGCAACACACACGTAAACTATTTTTTCTATAAGGAAATATTCTACATTTGTATTTATATTATATGTTAACATTAACGTCAATATGAGTGTAGAATAAATATCCATATATATGACAGAAACAGTATTAGAATTACCATATGATAGAATGCAAATCATAACAACCAGTCAAAACAGAATAATCAATATGTATCATTAATAACCCCGCGTACAGTCTACCAACCTTTACAAAACAATGACAGACGCACAGCCTGATAAAATACAAGATATGTGTGCTTGTAGGAAATGGTCGATATTATGTATTAATATCTGCAGATGTAATGGTAAAAAATGCATCCTCGTATATCAAATAGGTTTGTGTTTATTATACAGAGAACGCCAGCTGATGCTGATGTGATAGTCCACATTTTAAAGGAGTTCGTCGATTGTGTAAACAGGGGTTGATACCAATGTTAAAATCCAACTGGAGCGTATGTCAATTATTTAGAGAAAATTGATTTACTAGTATCGAAACAAGCGGACTAGCTTTCGTGTATAACTTTAGTGCTACCAATAGACCCTTAATGAATTGAAGGATCGGGCTGTGTGGTATTGTAGTATATAACTTATTTTTAAATCCAGGCGCCGTGCTACATGACGTGGCTCTGTTATTCAGATAAATTCCAATGAAAATGTAGGTAGTGATACAGATGTCGCCATTTGCCATAATGACCTGTCAATCACATACACCACATGTATCTCTTATACATGTAGCTGAGGTGAAATTGGATTTTACGTCGCGCCAAAGATAATAGCAATTATATAGCGACGTACATGTATGTGTGTTTGTATGCGTGCGTGCGTGCTTGCGTGTGTGTTTGTGTGTGTGTGTGTGCGTGCCTGCGTGCGTGCGTGCGTGTGTGTGTGTGTGTGTGTGTGTTTGTGTGTGTGTGTGGCTGCTTGTACTAGTCCGTACTTATGCCGACTTTATAGTGCTAGCCCACCGAGATATCATGCCGCAGTTTAACATGAATACCCCACTCAGACACAGTATACTGACTCCGAGCCGACCAGTCCTTGTTTTAGCCCCTTAATGCCGAGCGTCAGGCAGGGTACCAACAAGTATCATCTTTTTACGACTTTTTGTATGACTCAGCCCGGGATCGAACCCACGACCTTCTCCTCTCCGGGTTGACGCTTTACCACTAGGCCAAGGAGGCGGACCATGCAGGTGTGGCGGCGTGTGCTAGCACGGACATATGCTGGTGTTGTCGTGCTAGCCAACTGAGATACCATACGAGAGATTAACATGGATACCCACCTCACACGCAGTATAATTGCCCCGAGCGGACCAGTCCTTGTTTTAATTCATTGTATATATGGGTGGGGATGTGGGGAATATGTAGGGGTGTGTCAAGTTTCTTCATAGGGGTCATGGACTATTATCACTGTTGTTTGAGAGTAACAGATGGGTCCAGTTTTATTGACGTTTGTTCAGATTTCTACAAAATATTCACAACTAGTTGGAGATGTAATAAAAACAGAGCGATAAATATTGATGCAAATAACAGATAACAAAAGCAAACAATTAAGAATAATCAATAATTGCACGCTGTGACATATTAAAGAAAAGAGGACCTTTGTTAGAAGCAATCGATTCATCAGCGTTGTATGTACTCGCTGCCGTTGTATGCTGTGATATATATAATAAATATAATTATACCATAATAATATAGGTTATTATAAGAGGACTGAAACAACTAGAGCAAACAACATACAATGCCCTCTATAATCATGTTTATGTAGGTTAGACAGGGAGGTAGGACATCATATGTCCATGCAATATAAGGAAGCTGTCCCCCGTATTGATTTCCTGATCACATTTACCTCAGATCGATATTCTCTGATCGTTAACGAGATGCTTGGTTGCGTTCAATAGTGGTGAATGATTATTTTATAGACGGTTTTGTCTTTGGGCCTACCTACTGTTGACAACAGCTGATGAGAATTAACTTGAACGACAATCTTCGTTAAGGGGGCTTCAATTTATTAAATTAGTTATATTACACTGGAGTCGTGTTATCTAGAATTTTGTATCGAACTGTACGATGTCGAACGAGTACGGGTTTCACAAATTTGAAGAAAGGACGCGGAGAATGTTCTTCAGTCTGTGAAACCCATGTACATTTTAACCATCAAGGTCCTCCCTCTCCTCTTGTCACATGTCGAACTGCACAATGTAGAGATTTCCTGTGATGACAAGAGATGAAAAGCCAATGTATCCAATACCCCAGTTGGCACATGGGGCCCAGTTACCTTTGGCGCCACATTTAGATAAACTAAGTTACATACCTTAGTTGTGCCAGGAAACTATTATCATTGGCTCGAATTCAGCTGATTATGTTTCTTGGTTTATCATTCGTCAGCACTTTATCCGTGCTTGTGGTCGCACCAACGCTTCCACCATTTCTCCCTCATCAGCTGTGCACATGATATAATGAGCATCGATCTGCACAAGTCTTTGATGAAGTATATTAGGTGTAATAGTCGTAGACCTACGGTTTACAGTGAAGGATATTCGTCAAAAGTGGTCAACATTCAATCCACCTTACTTCTGTTTACCACTCGAGCTTTTTAGAACCACCTGACATTGATGAGATGATTGAGTGTGTATTATATGAAAGCAATACCCAAGATCAAAATCAAATTCGGGAATCGAACATGGGTATTTGGCGTGACGAGTGAACGCCCAACCCAATCACTCCAGTTACCTTTGGCGCCACATTTAGATAAACAGAGTTACATACCTTAGTTGTGCCAGGAAACTATTATCATTGGCTCGAATTCAGCTGATTATGTTTCTTGGTTTATCATTTGTCAGCTCTATATCCGTGCTTGTGGTCGCACCAACGCTTCCACCATTTCTCCCTCATCAGCTGTGCACATGAACATTTGAAGCGTTTTAGATTTATGTATATGTAGGTTAACATTTTGCTAAATAGCAATCCAACAAGTAATAAAACGTCGTTTTTCTTGCGAGACAAAATTGTTGTGCAAGCTGAAATTACTGTCACATGTGATTAGTGAGTGAGTGAGTGAGTGAGTATGGTGTACCCCACTTTTACCAATATCCCAGGGACATTAAACACGGGCCAATACTTGAACCACTTACCCCACCGACTCTTCATGTGATAAACATGTTAAAATACAATCGCGATCTCACGATCAGTTGACCTGTTGACGTATTTTTAAACACACCGAAATTGTTTATGTACGTGACAGTAGACATATTGTTCATGCACATCTTTATGCTAATGACATCGCCCATCATCTGGATTAGGAACTGGCCCAAATGTCGGTAGATTCCTGAATTTGTTATTAGTTGTAACAAATTATGCATGTGCGTCTATGCTCATTCAATTGTCTAACGTGAAATTAATAGATCTGATGGTACTATCATAGCCTTGTTGGTGCCCATCCTTGTTGATATTCCCAATTAACAGCAACAGCTGGAAAGGTGTATTTCATTTCCTGGTAATTGTTCCTTGGCAGGCAAATGTAAAATTAGTATGTATCCCTTTAAATTCTGAATTAGGATAAATGATAAATCGTTCACGTCCAGGTATTATTCGTAACCCAAAGTGTCGAAGCCTGTCTGAAGAACCATTTTTGTTTGATGACACGGTTAATATAACAAAGCACTTTCAAAATTGTTCGATATAGAGTTACTGAAGTAGTTATGCAAGATGCAGTTGGGATGGTAGTGTTATTTGAGCAAGCACGTGGAGTCTATTTATATACCGCAAGGTATACTGCATGCAGCACGGTTCATACAAGTGGGTGCTGCACGAACATTTTATACCAATTGCGATATTCAGCCAAAATAGAAGTAAGATAGATACCACGCGGCAGTAAATAAAGTACACGAAGGTATCATGCGTAGTTTCGCACACACTTCTCATGCAAAATGTATTTTTTATAATGTGCTTTAATTAAATAAGAAAGAGGACTTTTTTATGTTTGTGTCATGTTGAGTATTAGCCGAGTGAGCTTCCGTATCTTAAATATCACATATTTGGAATACAAACATTATAATGGGAGCGAGTATAATGCATATTTTCGATTCCTATTAGATGTATATGCAAAAAGCATAAGGAGAATAATACCTTTATAGCAAACTATCACATTCTTAAAA